AATGGAACTCACGTTTACTTCCGAACACTCGACAGCTGATTACTACTGCCTGCTGTCTCAAACGCGCAAAACGTCTCTCGTGCACTCGATCCCGTGTCACTCGATCGTCGTCAGTCCCTCCATACGGCGAGAAAACACCGGAGGACACTCGCGAGAAATGCCAACAGCGCCGCGTTCGCTGCCACGTTTCCGACACGGATGATAAGCCCGCGTACACATCGTTACTTCCGGTACGCGCTGTAAGCGCTGTAAAATGGTGGCGGGATGCCGGCGCACTTTTTGCACCTTCCGTCAATTCGTAAATAAACTTGACTTTATTGTCACCTTCATAAATATTCAAATAACCGATTCACATCGATTCTGATCCGAAGGCCTCGAAAGGCCGCATTTTTCCGATAACTCAGATATCCGAATTATTTGGATTCAGAATCACGATTGGATCAAATCGATCGGTTCCAAATCTGAAATTGAATTTAGCTTTATATTCGGAGATAAAAGGAACGCCAGAGTGTTCGATTTTGAAGATATTTTTCGATAATCTGCATCTTTTTTAGCACCTTTTTTAACTATAATTTAAATTCAGATTCGAATCCGAATCCGCTATATATAAGCTCAAATTTTAATAAATTTAATTAAATTCACGACGAATTCGGATATGGATCCGGGATTTGAAACTTGTACTATCCAAACAAATGTTAAAGTTTTAGTTGTTGTTGTTCTAAAACTCGATAATTTATTAATGTTATCGGAAAATAAACAATTTTTCAATGAGAGCTCTTTAATAAAATTCCCGAACTCTGCAATTTAATATTTAAAATTACTTTATACTTTAAAATTGTACAAAATTCTAAAATAGAAGATAAAATTAAAAAATGTCGTTACAATAAAAAGATGTCTACGAGTTTGTTGATTTTAAAAATGATAATAAAATTTTTCAATTTATCAATTCATTATTTCGTTATTATAACGAAATTATTATTTTTATACCGTGCAGTGTAACAAGCGTAAGTGGTGTAGATGGAAGTAGTGTAAAGTGTAGTCGACCACTGTTGACGATCAGCTGATCGTGACAGTCGACCGATTGTTGTGTGCGGAACGAGGATGCGAGTGATTTTGTCAATTTGACTTCAGCGAAACGCTTCGAACTCAGTCGAATCTCTTTTAATAGAAAACGAAAATAAAGAAATCAAGAAGCTGCAGAAAGAAACAATTCATTATTTATTTTGAGGAAGAAAAAAATCCACGATGCAGCAACATTAACGTGTCTCGAGATTTGCGTAGTTACAAAACTATTATTTACATTTTAAGATGTCAAACTATGATAACCATGACCATTAGAACTGCGGAACTGCGACGTCTGATGTAACATTCTAAACAATGGCTGCGAAGGTGTATCAACCTGATCAAGAGTTGGAAACGAAGGTTAAGAAAGGTTAGCGTTACAGTAACTTGTCAATTTCTCCCCATTTTCTAGAATATCTACTTGATATCGCGAGGTAGA